AAAAAAAAAAAAAAAAAGAGAATCATTAAGAAAACAACCCTGAATTAGGATCAGTCAAAATCTTTTCTGACCATTCATTACAATGATTTCCACCATAAGATCTCGCCTCCGTATCTCTGATGAACTTGAAAACTGAACGAGATAAATATCCGGTTTTGTTTGTTAAGCTATGAACTTGAGTTAATAGTAAAAAGTATGAGACGAAAAAGATGTTAGACAAACAAAAATGTTAACATAGGAAAGGGAAGTATATTTCGGTAGAATACATTCAAAATCAACAGACATACACAACACTAAAGCAGATTATTTTTAGTCAAAACTTTAAGCCTAACCAATATACTAGTTGTCCTAAAAGATCCCAAAAGAAACCCAGGAACAGAAAGCACTTCCCTTTGCTTCAGCAAACTTCCACTCTCATATTCCAAGTAGTCTCATTTTGTTAGATTATTTAAAAGGAAAGGAAAAAGAACTTGGTCTTCAAGAGCAAAAAATGAAAGATCAAATGAATTAAAAACTTCAGTTATAGCCATCTGGAACAAATTGAAGGGGACAAGTGGAAAATAGAAAACACCTTATGGGTTTATATTGCAGGATAGAGCCCCATGAGCATTCTCAAATTTTTATTTATGCTGTTGCATAGCAAGAAAACAGTTCAAAACTTCTTCAATCAGAATGATTTGATAAGAAAAGCCAGTGACTGATCAAATCAATCAAAAATACTTCCGAGTTTTCTCAGCAAGATGACAACCAAGGATCTATAATCATTCACTCACCTCCCTTATAATATAAACAGCACCCAAGTTCGTAAAATAGTAATATATACACCCAAAACCTCACCTGTATAAAGTTTAAATGCAGTCGGCACACTTCTTCGCTGTGTAATCCAAAAAACATCAGCTTTTTGCGTCATGTACAACCCTGGGTCAACAATAACTGGTTTCGCCCTCTGGAACCTAAACAAAAAACAATGTAAACCATAAAAGTTTTACAATGTCCTCAGTCACAATCAGGAAGCCATTGCCTGGAAGCATTTATAACATGTTTCACAGGAATAAGAAAATATGACTTACTCTTTCCAGCCAATATTACTGGTATGGTCAATGAAATTCAGATCCCTTGGCAAGTCTGAAAATGCGTGCAGTAGATCTAAATCACCGTCATGAACACACAAAATCAGGATAAATTCTCCCAAAAAATCAATTTCAAGCACACAAAAAAAAAAGCCCCAAAAAATAAGCAAAAATAAAACTATTACCATCTTGAGTAACCAGTGGATAATCAGATGCACTGAGATTAATAAACCAATCCCAATCCCCAAATTCCTTCAGCAAAATCGCCGCAGCGTGCAGCGTGTTCGCGACCATCGTCGGCCCCCGGTAGGTGACCAAATTGGCCCTGGAGATCATCCGCACATTTCTGAATCTGAGAAAAACGGGGTGGGTATTTACGTAGTTACACAGATCGAGGCGCTCCTCGGCGGAGGAGTCCGCATCGAGGTGCACGACGTAGCGATTTCTGGGATGGTAGACGGCCTCAAGCGTGCGGCGGAGCATGGTACCGTCCCCGGAGGAGCCGGAGATTGAGTAGGCGAAGCGAGGCGGAGGGAGGAGGGCGGAGACAGGGATGGGCCGGAGCTTCGACTCGACGAAGACGGCGGCGGCGGCCGCCGAGCGTGAGTAGTAGCGGAGGAGGGGGACGAGCGGCGTGCCGTCAGGGGAGGTTAAGGTGGTGAGGAAAACGATGAAGAGTGCGAAAACGGAGCCGATTGCGATTGGGAACATCCATTTTCTCTCCATTGCATGTGGGTGCTTCAGATGCAGATAGTATTTCTTCAGCTTCTTCATTTCTGACGAAAAAATTCTGATAACTGCAGAAATCTGAAAATTGCGATTGATGGGAGTTGGTTGATTTTGAAATCTTGGGCATCACCTTCTTTTAGAATTTAGACGTTGAGGGCTGACAGTATTATAATTTTTCATTTTTCAATTTTCAGGTTCTGATCACGTATTTGAACACTGTTTATACAGAAGAAAAAAAAGGAAAAATATTCTCCATCAAATGATGTGAATATTATTAGTAGCAAAAATATAGGTAAATAAAGGTATTCCTCTTTGTGAAATATGAGTGTTATTATATGCCATTTGGACTTGGAGGATTGATAATGATACCCCACATTATATAGCTCATGTTTCAAATTTAAAATTTTTACAATCAATCATTGGAGGATACGGTTAGTGTACACAATTATTATTGCTAAGCTCATCACAAAAACATTCATTAGAGAAGGATATTGTATGTCAAAATCCCAAAAACATATTAGAAGATTATGAACTTTGACAAAATGTTTAGAGCATCCATAATGCTTTGAGTTTAATAAAAAAAATTATATATCACTTAGAAAATATAGACAATCTAAGAAATATATATTCTCCAATGCAAGTGCAGTAGATTGAGTCTTGTTGATGTGACAACAAGAAAAAAGAGACTTGAAATTCTGTTCGAGGCTGCGGTGTGCGACGGCGGCGATGCAGCACGGAGTCGCGATGGTGATTGCGAGGGCGAAGTGCGACCGTGCGATGGTGCTGCGGCGGAGGACGGCTGATCGGGGTTGAGGCGATGGCCGAGAG